ATTGGAAGATTCTAAGGACAGTAAGAGATGTCTAATGTTTCTTGGGATTTGCCAATTACTATCGGATCTTCATCAAAGATTTCTCACGAGTTGCAGCTCCACTTACACGCTTGACTTGTAAAGATAAATTCCAATGGAATCAAGAAGCGGAAGCAGCATTTGAAGCCTTGAAGACATCGTTTGTCTCTGCACCAGTCTTATGTCGTGTTGATTTTTCCAAGGTATTTTTTATGGAAACAGATGCATCAGATTTTGCCTTGGGTGCAGTTTTATCACAAATGGGAACAGATGACAAACTTCATCCGATAGCTTTTCATTCAAGAAAATTCTCAGCAGCCGAGATCAATTATGAGATCCACGATAAAGAACTTCTTGCGATCGTGGATTCTTTTCAAGAATGGCATCATTATCTAGAAGGCGCTTCTAGTCCAGTCACTGTGTATACAGATCACAAGAACCTCGAGTATTTCATGTCAGCACACGTGTTGAATCGTCGTCAAGCTCGTTGGAGTATGTCTTTGTCAAGATTCGAGTTCATTATCACTTATCGGCCAGGAAAACAACAAGGTTTGTCTGATGCCCTATCTAGACGTTCTTATTTTGTACCAAAAGAAGGAGATGCAGCTTTTGAGCAACAAAGAACGGTCCTCTTGAAACCGGAGCAATTTCATCTCCGAGCAATGAAATCAACATTGACTGTTGATTCAACTTTTCTCAAGCAAATCCAGTCCAGTATGTCCTCAGACCCTCTTGTTTATGATATCGAGAATAATTCTTCCAAGTCTCATGATCCTTCTAAGTTCGAGTTCAAGAATAATCTATTATATTTTGAAGGACGCCTATATGTTCCAAAAGGAGAAGCACGTTTACGTGTTCTTCAAGCACGTCATGACTTTCCAGCAGCAGGGCACTTTGGATATAATAAGACTTTGGAACTCATATCAAGAGATTTTTGGTGGCCACAAATGTGGAAGTCAGTCAAAGACTTTGTACAATCATGTGATATTTGTTCAAGATCAAAAATTCCTCGTCATCGACCTTATGGACTTCTTCAGCCATTACCTATACCAAAACAACCATGGTCTTCTGTTTCTATAGATTTCATCACAGATCTTCCAAGCTCAAGATCTTATGATTCTATATTTGTGATAGTAGATCGTTTCACCAAGATGGCACATTTTGTGCCATGTATAAAATCTATCACAGGTGAAGAAACAGCTAAGCTTTTCATTGATAATATCTATCACTATCATGGATTACCTAAAGATATCATATCAGATAGGGGAATTCAATTTGTGTCAAGATTCTGGAGGACCCTTTTCAAGATTTTAAAAGTAGACATAAAGCTATTTTCGGCTTTCCATCCTCAAACTGATAGACAAACAGAGCGCGTAAACCAAGTCTTGGAGCAATATTTAAGGTGTACTATGAACTACCAATAAGATGATTGGACAACCCTTCTGCCATTGGCAGAGTTTGCTTATAATAATACGGTACATTCTTCCACGCAACAAACACCTTTCTTTGCCAATTATGGCTATCATCCACGACTTGATACTTTTGATTTTTCAAAAGTTGATAATCCTGCAGCAGAAGATATGGCAAATCGGTTGTCAGAGTTACATGCAATAATGAAGACGCAATTGAAGGAAGCTCAAGAACGACAAAAGATAAACGCAGATCTATATCGTAAGGAGCAACCACAAATCAACGTGGGTGATAAGGTATGGCTACTTCGTCGCAATATCAAGACTACTCGACCTTGTGACAAGTTGGACTATCGTAGGCTTGGCCCCTTTTCTGTTTCTGAACAGATCAACCCAGTTGCATATCGGTTACATCTACCGGAGTCCGTGAAGATCCATCCTGTATTCCACGTGTCTCTTCTTGAACCATATAAGACAATGGATATACAAGGAAGAAGACAAATGCCACCGCCTCCTATAGAAGTAGATAATAATGAAGAATTTGAGGTGGAAGAGATATTAGACTCAAGGCGGCGCCGAAATAAGCTAGAATATCTTGTTCATTGGCGCGGATATGATATTAGTGAACGCACATGGGAGCCATCCAGGAATCTAGCAAATGCATCAGCTAAAGTCAAAGTTTTTCATCAACGACATCCATCAAAACCAAGATGAAAATCTCTCTTATAAAAGAGACAAGATTGAGGCAAGATAACATTCAATTTCCTATCCTTGTTTGTAACTTCTTTGCATTTGTGACGCTAATTAGATGGAGAGCCAACAACTAGCAAATTCAACTCAAGAACCTTCGTTTGCTGACCTGCCGGACGAGACATTACGATTGTCACAACCTTCAAGACGACGCAATCAAGATGAAGATCTTCAAGAATGACATGTTCTTCCTCGAACAGATGGTGAGATACAACGCGTTTGGTATCACGATTTGGGAAGGGACTCTCGATGTTTGGTGATTTTGCTAGAGGTAGGAACAACTCCTGATGGTGTTCCGAATATTCTATTCAAAGGAAGTTACGAAGGCCTCAATAATGATCAAATAACTGGGTGGTCTTCCCGCCCTTGTATGGGACACTATCGATGGTTGAGAGGCCCTATCAATCATCTTCGAAGAGAACAGAGATCAGAGTATGTGGCGAATACAATTCGTCGCATCATAGATTTCCTCAACATATGATGACCGCTCCTCGTGGAACTCGTCTCTAGAAGGGGGGGTAATGTCACGGCCATAATCATGTAAGCTAATAATTACATATAGAAATAGGTAGAAGTAAGTAAAAGTAGATAAAAGTAAGTTAATTCTATAATATTTAATATAGAAGCTTCCTAGAAACTTCCTAGACACTGCTTTGACTTCATAGGTGTCTTTAATTGACTTTTTGGATTAGAAACGTGGTCAACAAGTTGGCCATGTGCCACACATGTTGTTAGCTTGAAGATCAAGCTAACTATGTGGCCCACACGTAGAAAAACTTGCCTTATAAGTCAAGGCATGTGTCCTACAAAGTCAATACATATTGGAGGTCCTATAGAATGTCGCCACGTAGCCCCTAGTTAGATAGTATATATAGAGACAAGAGTGAAGGCTTCTTCACTCTTGTCAACTCCTTTCTTGCTTCTAGTCCAGGTTCAAGAGTCTTTAGTTTCTTGTCTTGTGGCAATAGCCATTCCAGTTTCCTTTTAATATACCTACTTGTTTATATTTTGACTTATTATATCGAGATAGCCTTTTGGTGTATATTTTCCCTCATCGAGTCTTTGTCCTTGACAGCTTTAAAGATAGTGATTTGACTATATACATATTTGTAGATGATTGGTAGATTGAAAACTTGGCTAACAAATTACCTATGTATTGCACATATTAGTGACTTGTAGTACAAGTTTTCCACATGGTATACATGTAGAAATTTATCTTACAAATTAAACATGTGTCTTACAAGTTAGATGAATATTTTATAAATTAAACATATATTAGATGTAATAAGACATTTGTATTATTGACACATAGAAATAGGTAGTTGGAGTTGTTTTTGAGAAGTTTCTAGAAGTTTTTAGTATTGAGGCTAGGTTGGTGGTTTATGTGGGACATACCATGAAGCATTTTAGCAGGATTTAGAATAGTTATTAAAATAGGATCCACTTCTAGAACTTTCTAAAAGGTATCACTATCTTAGTGGAATCTAGGATGGTTGGACAAAGTATAAATAGGACTAGCCGAAACCATTTGGATATTTGATCTGGTATGACTTGAATCTTTTTTTCTTGATAAAGTTTCGTTTTTATTTTTTTATTTTATTCTATTCTATTCTCTTTTTTTTTTTTTTTCTATCTTTCATTGTTCCATTCTATTTTGTTTTGGTTTGCTCTGTCTTACATTACGATGGAATTTACATTGCTATTTATTAGAAGGGTTTTAGATCTTAGAGAGAGTTTAATCTCATTTCATTAGAGGCCCTAAAGAATGACACCATATAGTTCTTAATTAGATAGTATATATAGATGCAAGAGTGAAGCCTTTTTTATTCTTATCAATGCTTTTGTTGCCTTAGTCTTGTTTCAAGAATCTCTAATTTTCTTATCTTTGGCAATAGCCATTTTGATTTTAATATAATACCATCTTTGACTGATTATCTACTCTTTTTGAATAATACAAGAGTATATTGATATTTTGGTTCTTTTTAATTCATGTCCTTAATATCAATATCTAACTTTTGAAGGTAATTTTTGTTAGTAATTATTCTTATTTCTCTCCTAAAGTTGGCTATATTTGTTTTTTATTTTTATAATCCACTTTGTTTTGTCTTATTTATGGTTCTACAAAGTAAGTAAATGTCTCTTTTACAAAAAGACAATATTAATACTTGATATATTTTCTACCTTCATTTCTTTTACTTATGTCTTTTTAAAATATAAGTCGTATTTTTCTCTTTTATCTTATGGTTGTATCTTGAGATCTAGTTTTGACCTTCATTCACAATAAGTTTTCTTTGGATTTTAATTTCTAATTTTTTTAGGTAATTTTTGCTAAAAAATACTCTTTATGTCTACCTAAAGATGTTTTTTTTGTTTTATTTATGGTCCTACAAAGTAATTATAATTCTTTTTTATGAAAAGACTTAATTAATATTAAATATTTTTATTACTTTCTTATCTTTTATCTATATTTTTTTGAAGTAATTTTCTACTATATTCTTCAATCAAGCTCCTCTATAATATAATCCATATTTTTCTTTTTCAACCAATAAATGTAAGACCATACCCTACCTTCTTTAAAATGACCACAAGATGATTAAAAGAAATATTGAAATTAAAAACAATTAAGAGCGACAAGGCAACAATACTACTAATAATGGTTAAACTTTAGATGAAAGCATGTAATATCAAATCCTTTAATATGAATATAAAATATATTTCTAACATCAAATACATTAGCCATTTCTGAATTAAAATAACTCCATATAAGTGAGATTATGGACATAATGGATGAGGTACCTCAGAATGCACGTGTGGACACTGAACAACAAGAAAAATGTTTGTGTGAAAGCACACATCAACACCTTGACGTAAATATTGAGAACAATTTCGAACTCCCAAACAGACTTGGAGTTTGAGAACTAAGTATTCGCAATAAATTCTATGGATGACTGACAAAAAGAAACTTCATGGCAGCGCTCAACGTTGCACACAGTGTCAAAAATCTACAAAATTTAGAACCATGATACTCTATTCATCAGGTTGCATTCATATTTCCAAGTGCAACGATTGTTTTCTCAAAGACACTAGAATAAGAGTTCTAAAAGAAATTTATAATCCAGATTACTAGAACACCTTGGAGATGAGCTTGCTATAGTGAGTTACACTACAAAAAATCAGCCATGATTTCGAGTAACGAGCTCCAGAGGGAGCTGTCTTCAATGCTCTGGCTCACAAACCTCATGTCACCTGCATTCTCTGCAGACTTGGTGCCAACACCATCCACACTAATAGCATCCATTCGTGCCAACACTCCAGACGAAGTATTGCCAGGGAGAGGAGCTCCTTTTAGGAGGGATTCTAGCACTTTAGAGCCAATCTCGGTCTGAGAAAATTGGAGAAAAAAGTTCAGTGCGGAAGCACCCCCAAGTAATAAAGAGAGTGGCGATGCTTGTCGTCTTGACAGCTCAACAAGTGAAACCTGCACAACTCACGTCCAGTTATGATAGAAATTTTACCAATCTAAGAGTGTAGAAATTTTACCAATCTAAGAGCACACTTTTCATGCAAGTAAGCTTAAAGACTGCATACAAAAATTGTCTCAATAGTTGGTTGGTTCCGAATTTGTTTACCTGTTGATCTTCAGCTATACCAGCCTTCTGTTTTGCAATAGCAACTGCTTTAGAGATTCCACCAAGAGTATCAACCAGGCCACGATCTAGGGCAGCTTTGCCAGTCCAGACACGCCCTTGCGCAACTTCTTCTAATTTCTCTATCTGGAAGTTCCGAAATTTGTGGGAGATTAGTTGCAAATCCATCAAAAAATTGAACGAAAACTATTCAGTAATATTGCAAAGCTTAGCATGGAAAACAGGAAACTCGTGAAAAAAGAAGGGATGACAGACCTACCGGCATTGATCTCGACTCTGCAGCCTTATTTCGGAATGATGTATAGGCATTCATTGCTGATTCCTTGAAAAAATTCTCCTCCTCAGGGCTACGAGCCATACAAAAAGTGACACGTCGCAATAAGTGAACTTGCTCTATTATCAAATGAGTTTAGCAGTAGGTGACACTGACATTGGGATTTGGATGAAGAACCAAGCTTGTAAAGTATCAAGGTAAGCTATATACGATACCTGAAAGGCCGTTGATCTGCATCGAGCTCAGCAAACTTGCCCCTGGAAATAATTTCTTTTGCGAAACCAACTCGTTCATACAAAGTTGCTAAATTAAACTTAGCTGCCACACCCATGATGAGAATATATATCATGTCAGGAGATCACAATAAAGTTATTGAAAAAATAAACAGAATTAAAGTGGTAGTACTCAAATCTATCAAGTTAACTGTCTCCAGGTTATTACCTTACTCAGCGATAATACAAGTAAAACATTAATCAGCACGTTCATACTCACCTGTTACTACTCCAATTGATCCAGTGATAGTAAGCGGCTCAGCTAGGACAACTCCGGCTGCCATTGCCATGTAGTAGCCTCCACTAGCTGCTACGTCGGCCATTGATGCAATCACTGGCTTTCTTTCAGCTAGGAGTTTGATTTCCCGCCACATCCTAATGGCCGTAACAACGAAAAATTATAAGTTCAGAAGTAGGAAAACGGTAACGTAATTGATGCACTGACAACAATACAGTTATAAGCAGCTTTTTTACGGTTGATGATAGAAATAACTCCACCCAAGTATGACAAGCAAAGTGATCTTGAATGTGAACAGAGAGGCGTTGTTGAAAGCCTCGATGCTACTGTTCGTCTAATCACTTACAAATCGGAAGCAAGGGCATCACCACCTCCACTATCAATACGAATAATGACTGCTTTGAACTGCTTAGCCTCTGCATGCGCAACCAAAATTTGGTCAAGGATTTTTGTTTACTGAACATCCTATTAGTTGCACTAATCCTGAGAGTGGAACCATGATGATTAAACCGACAAAGTTTTACATGTAACGTTAAACTTAATACAAGATGGCCACCCTCCACTACAGCCCTTCCTGTTACAATGTTTCGTTGCCTAATACACTAAACAATTAAACTGCTCCAATTCTCCACCATAAACTTATGCAAAGATGCACGGATCCTCGAACAGAAACGCTGCAAATGTTCACATACCTCGAACAAATCGAATTCTCTCTATGAAAGAATCGCTGACTATGCCTTCGCCAGAGACTCCCAGTCTACCACTTGCAGTCCTTGTTATGTTTCCTGCTGCTCTTATAATAGCAATACGGTTGCTCCCTCCCGCCAAGCCTAGTGTCTTCGATTGGACCCTACAATATTTCCTGCACAGCATGGACAATAGTATATATGATACATGGAACTCATCACAACTACCTCTCCAACGAGCTTAAAATGTAGACTTCGTGAGCCAAGAATTGCTCACATCTTTCAAAAGGATTGACTGAAGAAGAGTAAGAGCTAATAGGAAACATATTTGGATACCTGTGTTGTACTGTCTGCAGAGGTTTATCCATTTTTGCCTTAATTCTCTCCTTCAGCATCTCCTCAATCTATTCACCCCCATTTTCCTGTGGTTAAAAACCGAGACCTTGCCACCTTTCTCCCAAGGTACTAGAGCTAAAATCAGTATTAATAAAAAGTTGCCATTTTCACGATAAAATTATACAAGGCAAAGTAAAGCCAACTAACCTCATCGGCGTACTTGATATCCGTAATCCACCGATCCTTTTTAAGGTCAGAAACTTTGTATATACCAGATTCAAATAAAGCCTCAACTTCTTCCTTAGTTTTACCTATGCACAGTAACCAAGCGCTCGATCAATGGCTCCATTACCTTCTTCAAGGCAAATTATACCAAGAAAAACCCCTCCGCTGATGCATATCATCACATGTAGCCATTCATACAAACTATGAATGCCTGGCAAATAGAACGCAGAGAGTTTTGCTACTTAATGCTGCTCTACTTGATTTGCCAGCTGAATCAAACCCCCAAAAAGTTGCTTAAGCTGCTTCTACAAAGTGGCCCAGTCGCTTAAGATCTCATTCCTCAAGCAAAAACCAGAAACTAAGATCCGCACCTTTAGCACGTGACACTTCTTCCAGAAAATTTGCATAGATGTCATCTAGAAGAGCTGTTAACATTTCTCGATTGGCCTCTGACATATCCTTGCGAGAAAGTTGATCTCCAGCACTTTTGTATTTTCCTATACGTTGCACTTGGGGTTGCACACCTACCTTCTCCAAGACCCCTGGAACACGTCACATAAAACATCCAGATGAGTTGTGGTAGAACTCCATCATTGAGTTCAAGACTTAGATTAAGTGTCATGCAATATTGAACCTGATCAAGAATAATAGAAATTAAAGGCTCGAGAGTATTGCAAAGAACGTCCTGTATCATCATCATTAAGTGTAGAAGAGCTTACAAACAATCTGTTATGCAACTTCTTCAAGTTAATTTACTTACCACCAAGGAATTGGCCTTGAACTTTCAGACCCAATAATGAAATATATGCCCCCGGGGGTGCATACAGTTCTGAGCATGCGCTTGCCAAGTAGTACTCCTTCTCTCCACCAACTGGCATATAGCCTACCAAGAACTTGCCTGCATCCAAAGTCATAATAGACCTTTAGACAACACAGTAAAACCTTCCCTTTCAAACCAAGAGCGGACGATAAATTTCTGAGGCTCAGAAACTTTTTGAAAAAAAATTAGAAAGCTTTATTTTGTCACAGTCCAAAATGGTTACCAGATAATTATTGCCGTACATGCAATTGTGCGTCTACAATCGAGATTTAAGAGAAAAACTGATGACAATCCTTGATACAATAACTGAAAATTAGCAGAGAGAATTTACATGAAGAGTAGACAGTGTTAGTATAACAAAAGTGGGTGAAAAGGGATCCTCAAAATATGTAGATTATCCTCTGGGAAGAAGCGATAAGTGGAGAAAGTAGGGCAGTTTCAGCAAATTAACTGGAAAAGGTTACGTACCGGATTGCTTGTAATATTCCATGTGTCGTCGGATTTCATCAAGCTTTCCCCAACCACAGGCCAAGGGCTCAATTGATAGAACGACGCCCTCTATGCGTGGGTCATGTGCTCCTTTTATCAGATTCTCACATATCTGTGGCAAGGATAACCCTTGCATGAACCGGCCTTGGTACTGCTCTGCAATCTGAAGGAAAAAGTACAAAAAAATCGTTCAGTCGACATGAGACATTCAAAGTAATGAACTTGCATCCAATGTTGGAATTAAATTAAGAGAAGTACTTGGAAGACTCAGAATGCCAATTTTAATGCAAAGTATTCTTTCAAGCCAACGCTGTCATATACTATCATACAGCATATTGCATGAATTGATTACATACAAAAGCTCCTCAGTATCCGAGACACACGAATCTAAAGCCATTCCATGAGTATTTAAATTTCTTGTTCTGCTTCAAACCTGGACTAACACCACGAAAAGACAAAAGTGTGAATTCTTAACTCACCTCGCCTGAAAGCTTTATCGTCAACACGCTTCCTTTCTTCACTCTCTGCCACGGCAATGTAAAAAGCATGCGGCACTTCACAACAAATTCCTCCCAGCCTTCTTTCTTCTTATATACCATGTCGCCAGATGGGTAAACCACTCCCTTGCTTGCACCATTCTCCGTTGCAACAGCATTGCTACTTTGTTGAATACTGCTTTTGTCGTCTTTCTTACCTTCTAAAGCCTCCGTAATAGCACTGTCTACCGTAGTCTGCGTAACCTTTCCATCGCTTTCTAAAGAATTGATGGTGCTAATGTCAGCTTCCATATCACTTGAATCAGAGGGCATTTCTGTAGCTTCAGATGAATCGCCACCGCTGCAGCGCGCAACAAGATGGTCATGCTGCCCTGACCCCATTAGTCTTGATGTATGACTGCCACCCTTGATCGAAGTTAACAATCTAATGTTAGGGCTTCCTCTCGTAGCATGACAACATGCTCTCCGTGCATTGACCTGCAAAAATAGTGTATTGGTCATTGGATCGAGAATAAATCACACGGTTCCTTAATCGGAACATCCTCTGAATTACGCTTGTAAGTTCACTCCACAACAAATTGAAATGAACTGTGTGGCTAGAAGATGCAAGATTGAGGAAAACTCACGGTTCCAATGTGGCGGCCGTCATAGAACTTGTATACAGAAGTGAAGCGTGTTAATTGTAAGGATGTATTTGCAGTAATAGTCGCCATATCTGCAACGAATGAAAAGACGTTCGTAAGGCCATTCCACAGGCGAGCACAAAATTGACTGTCAAGCACCCTTGATAATTTATTTAAAATCTTGCGATCGAAATTTTTTCAAAAAATCCACGGAGAGTTAGAATGCTCAGGACCAAAGGAGTTAACCTATTAGAATTATATTCATGCTAAGTGAGTAGAACGATTTTCCATGATAACAGACACGTCCTTAACAGCTGAAATTGGTAGAAAAACAGCTAATACCTTATTGCGATTAGCTGAACATTCCATCAATTTCGGACTCAGCCCTAACAAAGAGAAGCCTAGACAAACAAAGTTACGAATTTCTGAAAATCACAGCTGTTCCATGCAGAATTCATGTCAACAAAAACCAAAAATCGAAATTCACTATTCAAAAGGTAACAACAATTCCAAAGCAATCCGAAACCAGTATCTCATTTTATTTCGCAGAACGACTCCGCTCATGCAGCTCCTGTATGATTCTCTCACCGGCCGGTTGTGAAATATCACTCTTAACCTAGGTTGGCCTCAAGAGGCATATGCTCAGAGCACGAATTGTTTCAAACCAAACAGGAATTCAGACAGGAAATCAGTACTCTATGATGTACAAAAACCCAACAGAGTTTCAACCTATAACACAAAAATTTCCCAACCCGATCAGCTCCAAAACCCTCCTCGACCTGGAACCAAAAACACCGCACTGATAATTTGAAACCACTACACAGATCAATCGAATGCTGCAAACAACTTCTTTCGAGCTGGATCATTTGCTGCCACTGAACTCAGGGAACCAGAAGCTACCCTGCGACGCCGAGGACAGGATCCGCGCAGTCCTGCAAGCTGGAGCCGAAACGCGATCAGTTCGACGCAACTACAGATTGGAACATACAAAGTCCACAGCTTCGAATTCGACTGCGGTGGCGCCGTGGAGTCCTGTCCACCATCGCCAACGCTCTGCGGACCTCCTGAGTCGTCACCATATCCACACCTATCCCTTAGATTACAACCCAGTCGTAGATTACAGGACCTGAACAAGATTCGAAACGTACAGCCGCTCATAGATTTCAAGCCTTAGCAATCTTCCAGATTGTCAAAAGCGTCACCTAGTTTCGTAGAGTGACAATTTTTGATTTGCACAACCGGAAACTTCACAAACATGCCACCTGGGTGAGCGTCACAACAAAGTTCCATCAAAATGCAGAATGCAAATGCTCTGATGGCTCATAAAACGCCTAACGGCCACTGTTTCATGCTAATATCCAAATAATTGGAGCGCTTTTGACCACATTCTTTAACTGACGATTTGGGTGGGTTGCAATCTAACCAGCATCCATGCTGTGTTATGTTTCCATCTTTCGACCATGATTTGTTGTTGCCCACTACTACATCATAAATCACTTGTTGTATGTTGTTTGTCAGGTTTGAACCTCTATTTCGTTAGCAGCAAGATGTGAAACAACACATAATTGCACGTTGAAACACAGTTTTAGGTCACGTTTTCACTCAGCTTAGCGAAGTCTTCGGCTTCGTATCATGGGACCCATCTACACGGCGTGCTGTTAGTTGGAGGATGAGAATAGAGACCACATTGCCGACTTCTCGGTTCCACCTGGTCTTCGAGATCACTGGCAAGCTGATCACAAGTTTCATGTCTGCTTCAGTCCATTCCGACGCCGCAGCTGTTGCTAATACGAACTCAAGAGAGTAACTTTATTTCCCACAACAATAATATACACATTTGAGTTTACTTGCAGCAATAATCCCTAGTTAGTTAGGGTAACTTTGTAATTTACCTAATCCTAATTGCAGAGCAGATTGGATGTTGTGGGATCAATGATAAATTGGACGAGGACTGGATGTTAGCTGATAGTCAAGGGCATAGGTTGGGCATCACCAACATCTCTCCACTTGTGCTAGCATTAGCATTGTCAATTCTAGATGGTGTACCATCATGCTTCTTTACTTGATGCACTTGTATAATTGCAAATTGCAATTGATAAATTTCCAATGGTTAGCTTTCTCTGTTTTGCTCTTATTTTTGTGTTGCTATATAATCTTTATTTGGGCACTAATTGCAAGCTTGTATTTTCTTTCTTTTTCCTTTCAGCTCTAACTTCTCATTCTTGAGGTTCTATAGTGAATCCCACATGAACCACCATTTTGATCTTAATTTTAGAAACTTTCCAAAAATAACTCCAACTACATATCTCTATGTGCAAATAATACAAATATCCTATCTATGCCCCATTATAGCTAATTCCCGCTCACTAATGCGAAATGTCTTCGTTTTGCTCTTGATGGTATTTCCAAATGGTTTTCTAACAATGAGTGACGTTATGTGCACGTTTCCAAATTGCATCATAGATGGAATAACCTTTTGACAAAACTTTGTACTAAAGTTGTGGATGTCTATTGCTATGGTAAAAATAGCAATACTCCAAAATACTATCCACTTCATATTCTTATTGGTCATCAATGACAAATGGTGGTAGTAGTGGTGATTGGTGTCTATTTAAAAAGCGCCTTGGTTCAATATAAAATTTCTTGAGTTATAAAATATGGAAGACTAGATGGACTTGAATATGTAGAGGAAGCTTGAGGCAATATACAATATTAGAAATTACTGTAGAAACCTAGAATGGTCGAAGCTATTGAGATACTAGCTTATAGATTTGGATTGATGTAGCGAGTAGAAGTTTGGCATTGAAAAATAATACTTGGTCATCCTTTTAGAAGGTCTTGTGTTGTCGATGGTTATCTACATATTTCTTCTATTGATTATGTGCAGTGAGGAGACACTGTTGTATTTCTTGCAAGGTTGTTGTAAGCTATTGTATAAACTCCTCTATTGTCAGATTATTAGTATCGATGGAAGAATAGAGAGTTGTTGGCATAATTCGATGCTAATCATTGTTAACAAAGAATGGTAAATAATCAATACCTATCTGAATACTATCATTATAGACAAATTCCAAAGGCATCAAATATTCATCATAGTCATTATGGTGAACTACCACAAATATTCTGAGCATATTTTTTAAGATCTGATTTATATGCTCCATTATTGTAATACATATTGTCTCGTTTGAAAATGCATTGAGTATTTGGTAGTAGAAGGTATAGTCGAGTTTTACAAATATTCAAGAAATCCTAATAAGTTTCATCTATATAAAAAGAATACAAGTCGAATTTTAATTCAAAAGTACTTAAAGCTAATACAAAGTACTCAAAAACACTCTTCTTAGTAAACTCAATCATATATAAATTCCAATTGCCTTATTACTTTCATAATTAGATAATTTTGATTTCTTCTTATAAGTCCTAATTCTAGTCAGTGAGCTTTGGCAAGCTATAACTTCCAATTTGATCATCCACTTAGTGAAAGAATTTGTAGACAATTGATACTATAAATCTTCTATATATTCAAATAAAATTCAACTAAATCCAACTTACAGACTATAAGAAAAAGTCCAAAAACCTCATTCATGTTACTTAATTGCCAACTTGAAAGTTGATGTAAATGTTCTACTAGTAATTTCTCCTTCTCCAATTATTAACTTTAATTCAAAATCCATGTATAACTTAATATTAAAGCCTTTTACTACCATGCTAAGTTTCATCTTGATGCAATAAGTAGACCTTTAGATATCATAGAAATCCTATTCAATCTCAAACTGCCATCTTCTAATACCATCTTGTACCAAAACCTAGATATCTTTCAATTGTACTATTAGATTAATACAAAAATTTATATACACAATACATTCAATCAACTAAGTGTTACCAAATTTTGAATAGTAGATATAATACCAACTACATGAATTAGCTAAAAGTACTAGCCCTAGTTATATTGTATAAATTCCAAATCATTGATACAAATCCTAACTTTGAATAAAAATTTTAAAGTTATTCTAAACCTTCTAAAAATAAGCCTTATATCTTTTAAATTAACTTAAAGCTAGCTCTAGAATTCTAATTTTTGAAATTCAAATACCCTCTTATTTTATCCTAAGTAATTATTTTAGTCACTATAGGTCTAATTTTGACCCTCTTTTATAAATAGTTGATCTCTAATTATCAATCTAATCTATCCTAAGAATTTTTTAGTCCAATCTTATCTTCAACTTAATCCTAGTATCAACCATTCTAATTATTTATCTCTTTTAACCTGATTTTATTAATTTATGGCCTTTTTAAGGTGGTAAAAGAATTTCTACAGCCTAGAAGGTAAAATTACTAATCAATTCTTAATATACTAGCTATTAAGACATGAAAATAAACTAAGAAGCATTCATAAAAGCCATGTTTAAATATCTTCAATTATTATTGAACCAAGATGATTAAATATTAATTAAAAATTTATTTTTGATTATATTTACATCATATTATTGTGTTACAACATGACATTATTTTTCTATTTTTTTGAGGATGGAAGGCTGTAGACATCACAAGTCGTGTACCGAATAGCTTAAACAAGACCTACTAAAAACTCTCCATGAAGCATGAGTTTCAATCTGAAACAATGACACAAAGTAATCCATAATGACAAAAGATAGTTTTGAAGAAGATTCATGCAAGTATTAGAGCATCAATATCAAAAGACATTATAGCCAAGTGAAGTTACTTTGAGAGTTGATCCACAAAGACCATAATACGATTGTAAGGTATTTGCGGCAAATAAATAATAAGATCCATAGTCACATGCTCTCAAGATGTCATAGGTAGTGGATTTATTTATAATAGTCTAAGAAATGTTATATTATATACTTTGTTACATTAGTATGATTCACAAGAATGTACAAAAGCTCAAACATCACAATCTAAACCTACTCAAAATCATATCCTTGAGATTTGATTTAGAATCTTTTTGTACCCTAGATGTCTAGATATTGAGATGTCATGTCTCACTTAAAGTATTATCAAGAACATAAATTTCAAAGAAAGAAAATCTTCAATATACTATTGTATCACTAAAGAGAATTAAAAATTCACTCAAAAGTTGATGTAATATTAAATTAAAATAGCTATTGCCAAAAACAAGAAAACTAAAAAGTCTTGAAATAAGACTAAGGACTAAAAAGATATTGACAAGAGTGAAGAAGGCTTCATTCTTGCCTCCATATATACTCTTAACTAGAAGCTATATAGCAATGTCCTATAGAACCTCAAAAACATGTTGACTTTGCTAGCTACATGTCTTAACTTATTGTCACGGATATACTTATTTAAGCTAGTAATTACATATATAAATAGGTGGAAGTAAGTAAAAATAGGTAAAAGTAAGTTAATTCTATAGTATTTAATATGAAAGCTTCCTAGAAGCTTCATAGATGCTGCTTTGACTTCATAGGTGTCTTTAATTGAATTTTTGGATTAGAAACGTGATCAACAAATTGGCCATGTGCCACACATGTTATTAGCTTGAAGATCAAGCTAACTATGTGGCCCACATGTAGAAAAACTTGCCTTGTAAGTCAAGGCATGTGTCCTACAAAGTCAACACATATTGGAGGTCCTATAGAATGTCGCCACGTAGCCCCTAGTTAGATAGTATATATAGAGACAAGAGTGAAGCCTCCTTCACTCTTATCAAC